TCGCTCCGCTACTGTCAGCCACATCTTTTACACGAGAAATTTAGTCAATCTGTTTCTCAAAAACGACGTTCGTCGACCGACAGTCCCGGTTGCTATTTCATTGATTGAGCCTTGCTCTTTACAACGCAGTACTGACATATTTTGTCCGCGGAGCCAGGCATCAATTTTACCGTGTCCATATCCAGCTACTTGCAGCAAGATCGTTAGACTGAAGTTGTTCGATGCGTAATGAAAAATGCTAACTCTCTCTGTAAGTCCTGCAGCAATGCGTGGAGAACTCCGCTTCTTTGGGTGACTTCCTGTCAATCAATTTCGAGCTTTACTTCATTATTTTCAAATCAAGTTGTTTTGCTTACATTCGTATTCTTATGATACCACCACGAAGATACTTTGATCCGATAGAGGAAGGGTTCTCGATACAGCTCACTCGCTGATATAAGCCTGAATATACTTCGTAGCAAATTCATATATCTCTATCAAACCATGAGCGTTATGTACAGAGTGCGGCATCCTACGACTAAGAGCTACGTTGTTCAGTAGCGACATACTGACGCCAGAGGTAGTCGAATACAAATGGATATAGATTGGAGGAATAGTTTTTTTGACACTTTTAATATACCTACATCTGCAGTGCCCACAATCTATAAGACCAAGCTGCATCTATACTTCATCGGACTGCTCGTGACCGTGACAAAAACAGATTGAAGTTACTTTTGAAATTTCGAGAACACTGTTTTGTGGTGTACGTGGGCTGGCCTAAGCCCCCGCTCTTACTTTTGTAGCAAAGTGCCAATTTGTACTCTTTATATCACAAAAAGTGCAAAACATCTTTTTAACAATTAAAGTATTCGCTGGAAAAGTTTAGTTAAGATGTGGGTGAGGCGACGCGCTTCCTTGACCATAGCAAAAATTGGATGCGATACTTGTACCAGAATTGTTACAGCCTTCATGGTGAGAGCAGCTTCAAGCGCATGCGGTGGCAGCTTGAAATCTTGTCACCGGTTAAGTCAGAAAGCGCTCTTTTACTTCTCGGTTTAAGCAATATGCCCGCGAGCATAGATATACAAGAGCTTTGTTACGTCGCAGAAACCAGGATGCCGGCGAAAGTCGCTGCATCTCTCGCGATCGAAGGAGAAATAGGTATTGTAAGGTGCAGATAAAGAAGAAGAACTCCAAGGCCAATGGATGCTCGACGAGCATTTACTCTTGTGCAATGCCTTAAAGAGACAAAATAACGTAAGTCATAATTGGTCGACATTTTGGTGGAGAAGTGTAACGGGGTTACACATACCCTGGTAATAGGTGTGTGTGTCACACCAGATGGTCATGGCGTGACCACACCCAAACAAGAATACGGTATGTGGCTGGATAGCCAGCAGTTATACATGTATTTAGATTTACTATACATATTAAGGAAAATCTGTGCATTTAAAATTAGGCGGCTTTGCCGCAGATAAAAATAAATAAAGGCAGTTTTGAATTCAAACCGAAGAGTTATTTAGCCTTGGGTTAAGGCCATAATTACTCTTGGAGTAAGCGTATTGCGATCCGGTAAACTCGTACTTGTCTTGAGTATAGAACGAGAGGTCGGTGACCTACCTTACGCTTCCTCTGAGCGCAAAGCTGCGGCAGCCCCGCTGCAAGAAAGGTGCCATTGGTCATATGTAAAGTACTGCTGTGTACATTCACATAACGCTTTTATGCAGTTGCGCAAGCACAAAGTCACATGTAATCTTGAGATTGAAGCGTCTTCGTAAAGGAGAAGTGCGTGGAGTACATGAGTTTTTACCCTCTCACCACGCAATAATCGACTGTTTATAATTGAACATAGGAAACAGATACATCTTAGGTATGATTAATCATACACGTATATCACTTATTGTAGTAGAAGAGCAAACCAAGAAAATAAACACTTTCACAGGCTATCAATTTATGCCTCTGAGTGAAGCGTACGAATTCAATCCTTTATGTGTTGGCTCGCTTGATCCAAAGCTCCCTCTGTGCAAGGTGCACGGCTAGCCCGTTGCAAAATAGTCAAATTTTAGAGCTTTCACAACATTTGTCGCTAACTACAATTTATTAAAAATCCCTTAATTTTTTGCAGGATTGAATAAATGTCGAAACTTTTTACACCAAAACTTCGACCTAGCGAAACATGAGTTTGAATTTGCACGGCCATGATTCTCGAAATCGGTGCTCAGGAGTAGATCATCATAATAGCCATTCCACTAGACGCGGCAAAGATGCAAAACACCCTGTCGTTGTATTTGTAGCGCTCGTTCTCAGCCAGTACAACATCTTCTAGATGTGAAAATACCATGTATGTATATTTTTGTTTTCTTTTTTGTGTCACACACTGGACACAATACTTCGAGTATGGAGCCTTTGGGCATTATCACTCATTAGCGTCAATAGTAGCTATCAGTAGCTTAATATCGAACAATGTATTCAGATTTGATAATCATAGAGATATCAATATATAGTGGCGCAATATTACAATATTAACGGTCCAATTTTCTAGAATTTGATGACGTAGAGGGGGCATTGAGCCCATCGTAGGATGCATTTATATTAAAGTTAGCAGCAAATTTACATGCCTAGTGATAGCTCACTGGCATAACATCATCGTAGTCCCTTTTTACTCGTCGTTCATTATAAAGCGATACTGCTTGTCAAACAAAACTATAGTACACTATAGAGAGAAAATATTATAATTCTTTGTATCGTACTATTACTTTTCCGACTACTATTTGGGGTATACAATAATTAGATTCAGCACCTATATAAAACAAATGTCACACAAGCCGGACAAGAGCCTGAACTATCGAACCGAACACAAAGAGACATCACCTCAATATCGCCATGGGTTCACTTATCATAATTTAAACTGCTTCGTATGAACTCTCGAGCTCTTCTATTCGTATTAGTGGCCTTGCTGGCATCAGTTCGAGCCAATATCGCGATCGACGCTAACAGTGTTCAGCCTTTTCCCGAACAAAAACCGCAAACAGACTCTGAGAGATCTGCTCTCAAATACAAGCCACACCTGCATGTGTCGGAGGGCTGTCACCCGTATCCTGCTGTGCAGCAAAATGGTTCAGTCAGCGCCGGCTTCGAGTGGGATGAAGATTACTCTCAGCCTTGTGGACGATCACCTCAAGGATCGCAGATTTATTCACGCTCCAGTTGGTACAAAGGCAAGTGGGCTATCATGTATGCGTGGTACTTCCCTAAGGCAGCAGTCCATATTGGCAGAGGCGTCAGTGGACGCCGTCATTACTGGTTGCATGCTATCGTCTGGACTGATGAAGAAAACCCGAACAACTCAAGTATTTTGGGCGTGACAATGTCAGCTGGTATCGGCCTGTTAAAAAGAACTAAGATCAAGTCCCATTATATCATTGGAGGCACGACGCTCAAGTTAATGTCGTACGTGAGCTTTTGGGGTAGAAGGTTGGCACTTAAATTTACCGTAAAGCTGGGAGAAACTCAGGATCTTATTACGTGGGAGCAGTTGTCGCATGAGGCGCGAAAAGCCTTGGCTCTCGACTATAAATCTGACACGCCATTGCAAGACTATAGGTTTGACGGACTGATTAAAGAAGCGTATCCGTTTTAGTTGGCCGCTTGTGTTACCTTTTGCTATCGTGTCAAAACTCTACGTACGCAGTGATATCATGTGGTAGAAATTTTGTTTTGCATGTATGTAATGTTTGAGCCATAGGAATAGCTAGCTCTTGCTCACAGGCACAACAGTTGCAAAAAAATATAACAACATATAATGAAATTTACCGGCGTGAGCCGGGTACTGACAGAACTAGTGCCAACGGCAAGGTTGTACGTAATTTGTAGGCTAAACCAGGTTATTAACGCTAATCATATTGGCTGCAGCAATTGCATTTTATCGTCGCGTGCTTAAGCTATCAATTTGTGAAGGCGAATTTATTTTAATCAACCCCCCCCACCTTATCATGAGCTTGTTTTGACAAGAGGGCTTAGCAAATGCATTGCTACGTTTACAATGACCTCGCCGTTTTCTGATAGAGCTGGAAAAAGGCGGATGTGCAAGCAAAAGCCGCATTTTAGCTTAACGGACCTACGTGTCAATGTCAAGATTGTGCTGTTTCATCAGCTGCCAACTTGACATCATTGTCCCACTTGTCACTCGAAATGGTGGTGATTATCGAATGATAAATTCCTGATTTGGTATGATTCCTCTGACCGTCTAAAGGTATGAAGAAATCTCATTACTTTGATTCATTTACTGGTCAATTTGTGGCAACGAAACCTGTTTGGAAATTTGTGAGGAAATTGAATGCCTTGCATGATGATCTTTCATTCCAGCCAGTTAGCTCAAATGCTAACATATGATGCTTCCAGTACCAACTACAAGTGTCTGCTTTGAAAGTCGTAGCAGTATTCGTCATCGCACTAGTTTTTGAACTGCATACAGTTATCACTGAGAAATACTAAAAGTGTCTACATACCAAAACTAACTTAAGACAGGACTAGCGACATCTATCGGAATAATGGATGTCATCCAGGGCCCCACACATTGAACTAATCGTTTCAAGAAGTATCGTCAACTTCTAGCTGCATCTTTTTCGTCTCTTCTCTCGCTCTTTTCTTTCTCCTCTGCACGAGTATTACAGAGTATAACACTGATAGAAGAGACAACTTCAAAGAGGAGTACATCGTTCTGGCTATTTGATGCTTGAAGAGATCAACTACGCTACGATTGCAACAGCTGGAATGCTTGCACTTGAATGCTTGATACTGTATAAAAAAATCGTACCAGATGAAATTTGAATGATCTGATGCAAGTGCGATTGACGGTCAAGATATCTCTGACGAAGTTTATAGGTGGCAAGCAGAAACAAGACTTTGAATTTGGCACTAAGAATGTGTAGAATATGACCAATGAAACATAATAACTTCTGATCTTCCCTCATCTCCAACATATGCAGCTTTTAGAATCTCTAACCGGTTATGTGTGTTGGTACTACATTTTGTGGGGATTCTCGTCATTCTTCATGGCCTTGCAATTGCGCAAAATTCATTATAAAGTTCACTTTGAGCTATTGTGTAACTTGTGAATGCTTTAAATCAATAAGGTGTGATGACGATGGGACTTTGTAATGAAGAATTACCATGTACACGTGGGCGTTATCCTTACCTCAAGCAATTATGATAGTTTTATCATTGGACATGACAAAACAAAAATGTATAATACGAGTCTAAAGATGTTTCTCTTTGAGAAATAACATATAAAAAATAAGTGTAAGTACGTCACAAGCTATCCGCTTCGCTCCTGCCTTCTTCGTTGCGTACGTGGGCTACCAAAATCAAAATCTCTTACCACAAGCTCTTAAAAAAGTATATTGCGCTTTGTAGCATAAGTGCTGAATCTGACGGCCAATCGAGTTGTTGGGCCGTCCTAGATGCAGTTAAGAATTTAAGGCGTCACTTGGTCGCGAGATGAAGGCACGTTTTGTGGACAAGGCCTGAAAGCGGTGATTTAACGCCAAGAGTCATTCACTGGCTGCAGATACGCTGGGGTGAGACATCTTCCAGAAGGCCTTTAGTAGTAGGACAAGTGGTTTTCACCGAGAAATGTTTTTATATGGATTTTGATTATGATCACGCAATAATTAGGATGAAGTTATTATTTGCTACCATGTGAAACAGAACCTTACACTACATTTGGTTTCACTATGATTAGTCGATTAGAATTTATATTTTATACTATTTTTTTTTAAGCCAGAATTTATCGTTATATTTTCCTCGTGAATATCGAGCAAAGGAGTTTATTGAGACCCACAGTTCCGCGCTTTGGCCATACTCCAAGCATTTATAACAAGGTGATCAAATTTTTCTCTGCTCGAGGTGCATGACAACTCCGTTGCAGAATCGATAGATATATGACACTGCGCACGGCACTGTGGACGAAAGGTAGTTGTAATGTATCAAATTACTCCATCATAGTGAATCTCTCTATCTTGTCGGATACAGCAAGGCGAGTAATATTTCAAACAGCTTTCCGTATGAATAATGCGACCATCCGAAAATTGTGGCAAGAAGACAGTCATAGTTCAATGTCAAACTTTTCAGCAGGTTTGTCTGTTAAATGGTTGTGCACTATGTCTTTGTCATAAAATCGCTGTGTAGAATATGATGTCAATCCTCGTATGGTAGATAAATGTGACTTTTCCTTCACTTATGACTAAAACAAGAGAGAGAGGGAGAGGATGCTTGCAGCAGTGAAAAAATTGCTACAGTGGTATCATAAAGACTCTGACTATCAGGCACTTTCAGATTTGCTACACTCACTTTGCGATGGTTTAATCCCTACAGTTAGTGTTATAAATTAGATTGCTCAAAGGCAGAAAGAATATACAGAATAATGATGAATGATTCCGAAGTATCACTTCTCAATCCAAGGTCTAATGTAGACGTTATAAAAGCTCTCCTATTCTATGTGTTGGTTTGTTTGTAAAAACCGAAGAAGATATATTAAGTTCCTTAGTTCGCTACTCTGTGCTACATCTAAGCCTATCCGTCCAGGCCATTCTAGAAGCTTCTTCAATCAATCTTATATATTAAGATCAATGAGCGGATACTATTATGTTTGTAATCAACATCCATAATCATTATAGTAATTGTAAACATTTCCGTAATACTTGTGACGTCTTCCACGCATATTCAGCGGTGTATCTCAACACTTCCACTCTCCGCTAATGTCGAGTTTGCTTTGATTCTTTTTTCTTAATGTCTGTCTTTTCAACTTGAGTGTCATAGTTCCGAGTGCCATGGTAAACATGTCCGTGAGCTGATGCTTTGTACCAACGTAATCGATCGTTCGATATTCAGCGATTCTCGCGTAAACTGATGCTTGATGTCGACATACTTTTCTCATGCTATCTCGTATCCCGTGCCAGCACTATACAGATCTGTACCTATATATTTCAACGCCGCGAGCGCTCACAAAACTACCTGGTTGCACAAGATTAGTGCCGTCTTCTTGGCTTTTGCTGAACTCAGTGTTATAGGTCTCTGAATTTTCAACTTGAACACAGCTGGTCCATTACAAATTCTAGGCATCACGCCAGATACATATCGCCTGTCGTCGATGTTTCTTCCCCAGTCTGCGTCCGTGAATGCTTTAACCATAATGTTGCTGGTCCCTCCTTCATATATAATTTCATGCAGGCTTGTTGACTTCAAGTATCTTAGCACACGAAGCGTGGCTCGCCGATGCTGTATTACAGAATTCAGTCTCCATGTGTGCCGCTGTGGACATATCCAATCAAGTGCCAAGAATTCGATATATTTTTTTCCAAATCCACTCCGGATCGTATATCACGATCAGAGACGATAACGTCTGGCTATCCTTAACAGCGAAAAATGCGATCAATGAACAATCTCGTCGAACTTTCGGTAACGATGGAATCGCTACACGCAGCGATACAAACCATCTTGCTGAGTCCGTCAACAAAGACGAGCAACTCATTGTGACCATCGGCATTCTCGGGTAAGCCAAAAAAAAGTCAAGACCTACTGACTTTCAACGGTCAGCAGAGATAGGACAACTCTGCACCGGCACTTGCGTGTGGTGTTCGTTTTTCACGCATAGATAGATATCGCAATTTTTCAGGTGTTTTAACGTATCGTGCGAACCACTTGTTATTGGGCCTTGAGCGGCTGGTAGTTTTTCTCACGGCCGAATCAGTAATCGGCGTAACATGCGCCTCGTATCCGATCTTTTGCTTCAAACCATTGTTTTGGGAAATTACAATCCTTGGCTCGTCGCCAAGTGCAACTTCATAATTAAAAAGACCATTCTCCCATGCACAACGATTCAACCATTATTTCATGCGACCAGAAAGCTTGCCATGGAGTTCCATATGACTCGATGAGAGTCAGATCACATGGTTTATCCTCAGCATACGAACGGCGTATCATATCAAATACATCGTTTTCGATACCGATAAAATGGCTAGCTCAGAATCCGGACGACTTGTCAATGCCTAAGCCAGCACGTTGAGTGGTCCCGGTTTGTACGCGACCGTGAGGTTTGAATTCTGCGCTGAATGACAACCAGCCATAAAATTGCTGAGAAAAGTGGCATTCTGCAAGTGTAGACGACGAACAGAGTTGAAACCAGGAGGTGTATAGATTACTGTACCTGAGCAAACTTCATTGGTTACAGCTCTTTGTCGTGAAATAGCAGCTCTTTTCTGCTAGCTCCAGCTGTCGCGATTAATGCGACACGACACAGTCGTGTCCTTCTGAGCACTTTTGCTATTGTGTACGGCCGATTGCAAACTAGAAAGCGTAGCACACCACGCTATACGGCTTCGTATCATCTGGCAAAGCATGTAATGGTGCTTCCATCAAACTGTTATTGACCCGAGCGATTGCTTTCTCACGAACTCCATGGGTTGTCCTTCTTCAGCAAGTTTGATAGTGTGCGTATCATTTTTGCGTAGTTTCGCGAGAAGCGATCTAATAATTAAGCACACAAATCGATTTCCTGAAACCATTTGACTCCGTGGCATTGGCCACTCCACGATTGTCTCGACCTTTATAATGTCTACACAAAAACCGTGTTCACAAACATAACAGCCGAGGACAGGTACTTCGCAGCACAGAAAACAGACTTTGCAATATTCTTTCAAATGAATTTCTACGCGTACGTTTCAGCAATACGAGAAGGCGATTCAAGTGTATTTCTTCAACAGATCCGCCACTTTCGTTTTTGAATGACGAAAATTATTGTTATAATATGTTTGTGCAACGCGTCGCGGTGGTCGAAACCGACCAATCAATATTATTGATTAAATGCTGCTGGGACATCCGTTAGTCACTCCAATATCAAACCGGACTATTTCTACCAGCTGTCAAAGCGACGTCCTACCAACTTATCAAGATTTGGTAATATGCATCAACTAGACCAAGTTCACTAAATTGTTTCCAGCCGGCATACGGTGAATGATGACATCTTCACGCGTAAACGGCGTTTGAGAGGGGGTCGTCTGCGCAATCGCCTTGTTATAGGCGTGGAAGATACGCCATTTACCAACTGGTTTCTGCACGTAAGACGTCGGCGCGCTATGAGGGGACTTGCGCTCCCTCACCAAACCAGCAGCTTGCTTTTGAGCAAAATCCTACATCGATATACTCACTTTGCTCATGTGACAGTGGACACAGTCGAACTAATACATGCATTGAGCCAAATTCAAGATCAAAATTCGTGTTGAAGTTTACGTTCTGGTGGAAGACCAGAGCTCGGATTTGCACTAAGGACGTTATCCTTGTATTCGATAACATGTGAATAAAAAGGATCAGTTGGATCCTTCAAAATAGCAGATCCTCACACGCTGTAGATTTTCTTTGAGAATCAAATCATCCATAATCGATGATGAGCGTTGTTCCCTGACTCGACCTCTGACTGAAGCAACACGACTTCCAGAATACCACTTCAGTTGAAGTCGTGTATGAACTCATCGTTATCGTAACTGACTTCCTCAATCTGCACCAGATCTTTGATCGTCGGTAACGGTGCCAAAAGAACATCTGTTCTGGAAAATGTACAACCGGTCGTCGCCACAATTTGCTGACCAGCATCTTCGCATGCTATTGTTCCATCATATGAAAAAGAAGGCTGGACAAATTCGCCTGAAGACTCAACCGCATTCACAGCGGAAGTATCGGTACCGTGACCAACATATTTTGCTAATTCCATCGCAAGTGTGTGCTAAACCACAAAGCGGTTGAAAGCATCAGTTTTGTGGTCAGTAATACCCACTGACCCACAATACGCCTCAACCACTGTATTACTGGGAGCATTGGCATATCCAGCCACATTCAATCCTTTCAACTTTGCAGTACACACATGTCGGCGCTTCTGAGGAATGTCAATTGATTAATAGATACCAATGAAGAATTAATCATTACCAGCAACATATGACTGCCAAGCGCTTCAGCGCTTCTCCGTTGCAAAGTGAATGTGCGTTCTTTAATCTCGAGTGTTTCACCAGCGCCAGGAGAGCTACTTCTAATTGTTTTTGATCACCAATTGATCCACTGCTCGTGCTTCACAAGCCAAAGTATACATTTATCCGTGTCAAATCGTTTGTCTATCTCAAGAACTGTAAAAACTTCGTTTGAGTTGAAGTCTTCAAACTCCACTTGCAGAGGAACCGTAAGCTTCTTCGTGGTAAACACTGCACCGGTGGTCAACTTCACTGAGAGAGGGTCATTACTTATATCTCGAGCATTTGAAAGCGCTGAATTATTTTCAGCAACACTTTGCTTCAGCGCAGAGTTACGTGATGCACCAGCGTCAATCAAGACTCTAAACCGACGATCGTAACCTTTCAAACTCGATATGACCAACGAAAAGACCATGTCATTAACAAAGAATAAAGATCATTCAAGAGCTAAATCCCCGTGAGTGATTCTACCACCTCACAAACATATATAATCGTTCCAGTCGACCGCCTTGTTTTACTGGGAACTGGCGATTCCAGAACTCCTCGTGATGTTGGTACCACCTGGCTCGAAACTACTACGACGAGAACCATATTGACAAGTCTTATACGTGGACAATCACGTTGAATGTGACCAAATTGCTGACATCTATAATAGCGAATTTGCTGCCTACAGATAGTGGCCGCGCTGAGAGCCATTGGTTCCGTGTTTCCAGTAATATCAGTCACTGCTTCCATCGGATTGACCGATAGACCGCGTGCTTCACTTTGACACTACTCGTCATGTATTGCAATCTTTATTCCATCTTCTAGAGTCATCGGAGTGGCGGAAGAATGTAGTCTTCGAAGGAATATAAGTGAGCCCCTCCATTGACATAGTGACCATCACTGCATCTGGCAGTGGTTTGCTTGCTGTAATGGCACGAAGCCCACGTAGCTTCTGTGCATAGTCGTTCAATGTACTGTTGCCTTGATGGCAGACAAAAACTTCGACCGGTGTTGAAATGCCACATTAGGCGGAAGGAACATGGAGATTATGGACCTCTCTTAATTTTGCCGTGTGATAGAGTGGCCGGGGCGAATGATGTCCGTGTAATCGTCCGACCATTTACAAGGCCATCCGAATGCGACATGGACAACTGTCGAGGTCTGCGTCAACGAACGTACAGATGCTGGGCTCTGCCGTCGAAACGGGGGCGATGCCGAGATCTACTTACGTAACTCAGACCTCTATTTTTTTCTATTTGCACTAAATAGATCTGTCCTGACAAATACTTAATATTCATGTTTTACTATCATTGATAATAAAATGAGCTGAGTACTTATATATAAACATTAATAATATCTAGTTCACAAAGTGATCTATTGTAACACGCAGTCAGTGTATTACATCGTGCTAATTTCACCGCGAAAAAAAAGAAAGAGATTTAGGCATGACCAGCAGCGCAAGATGCAGAAAACTTACGATCCTAAGGTTTGTAGCGACTACTGTAAAATGCCAATTATCTATGTTACGTTAGAATTTAGGCCATATCGATGGTGATCTTAAAATCATTTGGGGTACCCACGTTGTTTGCCAGTCCAATAAAATTGGCTAAAGATATTGTGGATTCAAAACCACACTAATCATGTGGTCTAGTCCATAATTTCTCATATAAAGTCTTTCTACATAAACACTCCACTAAGCGTAGCGCAAATACTTTTATTTCCTTGGCTTGAAGGCATGGCTACAGCTTCGTCTCAAGGCCCAAAATGTGACAGTTTTACTGTGTTGCGGGTCTGTATAAGAAGGCACGATCTTTTCTCACAACAACTTGGCACGAATCGCCATGGCGGTGGAAAGCACTGTACATGGTAGTGCGGCTGATGGTGGGTGTAGGCATCGAGCCGCTCAGCTAGGTATAGACTGTTGATGCCAATACCAACGACCTCAAGAATGCATTAGATTAACCAGGGACTTATCTAAAAACAATACATTCTAATTCTTGCGCCTGCGCCGTAAGAAACCTAAGTTTTAGTCTGCAATTCCTAGCCAGCTACTATTTTAATTATTAATGTATGAATTATATTGTGTTTTTTGCATGTATTCGAAATAGTGAAACATCAAATTGATGATAACGAACAAAATTCGGATCTGATAGCAGTGACGGCGTTAGATTTAAAAACTTAATGACTAAGAGCTGTTGCAAATCTGCAGACTAGAATGGATAAGCACTACTCAGCATATAACGAAACCACTTGTCTTGAATTGGAGTCTCCATACGCCAATCAGGGTAATGAAAAGAGGATAGCGCTGCTCGAGCCTCATCTGTAAGCTGCTCCCAAGTAATGAGAGGCTGCAGATCACCGACTTTATCAGTAAGCTTGAGTCCAGTCTTATCCAACCAATAATTTTGGTATAACTTGACCTTCAAAGTCCTCCTGTCAAGAAGATACTTGGACTTTACTGGTAAGTATTTTTTGATTCTGTTGTCGGTGCCAGACGTTGATGCAGCGAGAATAGTCGAGACATTAGGATCCGGGCTGTTTGTCCAGACAACGACAAAGGTCCAAAAATGACGATGGCCGTCAACCAACCAGGAAGAATGGTCCAGAGCTCTCGGAAGGTACCACGCGTACATGATGGCCCACATGCCTCGGTACCAATCGGATCGCGAGTATATCTGGGAACCGTAGGGAGATCCATTACATTTAGTTGGTGCGAAGACTTCCCAGGGAAGTCCGTAACTTAGTGATCCATTCGCCTGCACTGCAGGATATGGATAACAATCGCTCACTACGTAAAGTCGCGGTTGATACTTGATGGCAGATTTTTGAGAATCCGTCGTTGGTGTAGGCTGTTTAAATGGCTGCACTGCGTTGAAATGTAGGAAGTTGTAATGGTAGGGACTAGCTCCTCGCGTTGCTGGGTTTCAGTGACATTAGCATCAGCCCATTCAGCATTGCCATGGGACGTAGCGAGGATGGCAATTACTCCGAGAAACACGGCACGAGGACTCATCAATATGGTAAGAGAAGAAGTGAGAAGTAGGAAAGCAGCTCATTTTCGTACTTCGGCGAGTTGGAACCAGGCTGGGAAGGATTCTGATACCTGATCTTTTGGATTGCGCTTCTACCCACAAACTCTATTACAATCGCATAGTTCGGCATCCATAAGGAGTTGCGCACCTAATTCTGATCAATCAAAGACAATGTGCTGTCTTTAGAACTGACGAACACATCATTTTGCACAGCATCAAGGATGAAATGCTCGTGCAAGAAAAACAGGTGGCGGTAACGACGCTGCCATATGATTTGCCAATGTCCATCGAGCCGGATCCGCGAGAAGGTGTCATGTTGATAGGAACATCATAGAGCAGTTTGATTTATTAAATGTAATGCATCCAATGACTGAGAAGTGCGAAAGTGTTATAAGCTTGATTTGAGTATTACAATTGCAAATACCACTTGATGAAAAACGCCCTAGAATCATGTTTTAAATTGGACGTTGAAGTGATGACGCCTGAGTAGAAGAACTCACTCTACTTTCATTCCGCATTTTCCTTTCCTGCTCTTGCTTCGCCTGTAAATTGTGGGCATGATTGCCTAAGATTATTCATCAGGTCAACCTCTTATCTAGAATGCTGATCTAAATTTCATCCATATCGAACTCATTGAAGATCTTGAACTTTCACGCAAAACTCCCCATGAGTCAATAGTGGGTTACATTTTCCAAAATTAGGTTTTGGGTGCATATTCTGAGTCTTTTCTTCAAATTTGCGCCGGCGTTTGAGGATATAGTTTCTTTAATAATATGAATACACCAACTTACTACGGCAATATGGCTGCGCTTTTAAGCACACAAATTGTCATTGTCTCGACAGCCTTCTCTAAAGATTTTTTAGAAAACCTACACTAGCTTTTTGAGCTCTGATAATAATGTCATTAAGTAACTTTTATGCTGATGTTTCACGACTGGTACAAGATGCTGGCATATCGTGAAGAAAAGAGCCTTACACTTCATGTGGGTTCATTATAATTAGTCGATAAAGGATATATTTTATATAATCTAAGTTAGAATTGAAATCGCTATATTTTCCTCTTAAATTTCAAGGAAAAGGAGATTATGAGGCTCACATTCCACGCTTGGGTGAATCAAAACATTTCATACTCCGCCAACTGACTACATCGTGCTCAAAGTTTTCTCTGCGCGAGGTGCCGTCGCAAAATCGATTCATCTATGGCAACGTCGACGAAAGGAAGTTGTAATTTACCTATTTCCTCAGTTGTAGTGAATATCTCTCTATCTTGTCCGATACCGCACGTGGGTAATTTATCCAAACCAACCATCCGAAAGTTGTGGCAAGAACTGTAACGTGGTTACAGGTACCCTGATATGAAGGGGTGGGTTACACAAGATGGTGTGACCACACAATGGTGTGGCTACATTTCAACAAAAAGTCACTACGTGACTAGTTATGCATTTTAATTAGGTTTTACTATTTAATCAGAAAAACCATATAGGCGGCTATGCCGCAAATGATACAGATAAAATACGTTTGGATTTCGAACGGAAGAGTTTATTTGCCTTAGGTTAGTGATTTGGGTATACATGGAGGTAAAAAATTGCGATCCGCTACACTCTAAATGTAGAACGAAGGGCTAAGCTTCATCTAAACGGAAGAACTATGGCAGTCCCGCTGGACTTGGTAGCACTTGTAGTCCTGAGTCATTACGACATTAACGGGGTTACACGTACCATTAGATAAAAGTGCGGTACGCACAAGATAGTGTGCCGTACATATGTGTGGACTACAAAAGTTGGTGTAATCACACAGTGGTGTGGCTACACCGTTACAAGAAGCCAATATATTGCCAGTAGTGATGCATATTAATTAGGTTTTACTTTATTAATTATGAGAACCTAAGGATTTAGATATTGTAGGCTCTGCCGCAACAAAAACAATTGAATACTATTTCAATTTTGAACGGAAGAGCTTCTTTACAATTGTTAAGGTTATAAGTACTCTTGGATGTAGCGACTTGCGATCCGCTACTCGATGCGGTCGCAGTGACCGTCTTAATATCGAGCCTTCGCACTGGCGTGGCCAAAATCTTTCGTGCGCATCTGTCTTATTTTAAAAAAGCTGGAACGTGGTATTAAATGCCGATTTCAGCTTCAAGTCGGTACAAATTGGTTGGAATGCAAAACCTCAGAGCTCGTCGAGCGGACTTGAGCCAATGGATCTCAGCTATGCTGAGAAAGAGGAGGGAGAGTTCCGAGCTGCCGGGCAGCGACGGTGTTTTGTCTATGGAGACACCTGTCACCATCGGGTTGGTTTCCCATTGCGTAAGACGCGTATAGGTTCGTCGAGCCGACGTCCCGCTTCTTACCAGTTTGGTTTGTCGTGGGGAAACGAGAAAACCCAATAGGCAAGGGGCCGCTACTGGGAAAGAATTGAGTTATGTTGTGCCTCAAAGTGAAAGATGGCAGCAGGGCCCAGCCCCGAAAAGCTCCGTGTTCATGAACACGGAACGTGTGTGCAAGCCGGCTTGCTGGCCGTAGCAGCGGTTGTGATGGGCCTCGATAAGCCGTGGAAGATCCTTATCGAATCCTTGGCGTCGGACAATTATGCTCGACGCTACGCTATCGAAGGAAGTCAGCTGTATGATGAGGCGCTGGAAGCGCAGTTGTGACACCGTCACTTTTCAATCACGACGGGACTTGTGTCACTGTGCTGAGGGTCCCTGTGGTTCTCGGTATCAAGTTCCTTTACTTTAGTCTTAGATCTAGATGCAAGGTATGACCTTATCCTTGGTATGGCATTGCTGGAACACCATGAGCCATGGCTTGATTGGAGGTCGAAGACCTGGGGCGCTACGCGCACGTATTCTGTTGGAGCTTTTGGTGAGTCATAAACTCACCTCTGTGAGGAAGGAGAAACGCTATTAGCGCAGGCCTTGGACCGCAATGATCAATGTGCTGGATGCTGGAGTATATTACCGAAGGGGAATTGGACAAGAGTCCTGAGCATGGCTCGCGGGCTGAATGCGGAGTGGCACGTAACCCAATGAGCGCTGCTCAAGTATTGGAGCAGTCGCTGCATGCCAAGAATGGCAGGACGACTAGGGCCGAGGCATCGAGGGCAAGGCTTCAGTGATGCTCGTGGAGTGGCACGTGACCCACTGAGCACTGCTCACGTTACGAAATAGTTGCTGCATACCAAGAGTGGCAATGTTGGACGATATCCGAGGCACAAGGGCTAGGTTCTTCAGATGCGCGTTGAGTGGCACGTCATCCACTGAGCAATGCTCACCTTTTGAAGCAGTTGCTGCATTTCAAGAGTGGCATGGTCAGATGAGGTACAAGGCATTCTGCGCAAGGCCCTTCTCATGCGCGTGCAGTGGCAAGCTACTCACTGGACGAAGACTGCGGAGCTAGCAGCTCTTCGGTGGATGTTGTGAATACCATCAAGGCCCCGATGAAGCAAGGAGTGGGATACTGGACGGCGACGAGTGCGTGCTTTCACTGACCCAATGAGACGTAAAACCTCTATAGAGAGGAGACGGCGAAGCTGTGTGATATCTGCAAGACGCAGGGCGAAGACCATCTACCATAGACGATAGCGCACAGCTATATACCTTTGTCAACGGTATGATGGGGAAGGAAGACGGCGACGCCACCTTCAAGGCTATTCCCGCGGTAGATGCTCTTCTTTAGCTGGACGAGATGTCATTCAAAAAGCCTTGAAGGCAGGCAATTTAGCCGAGGTGGTCATTATACGACCACACAAGGTGATTAACTCGTCGCCGCTTTTGAAAGTAGCGGTCCTGAAGAAAACTAAGAGGTTGCTTTATGCACGAAGTGGATCGTCGATCCTGAAGGGTCTCTCCGATCGTAATTATTTTACCGAAAGAATTTCAAGGCGTCATCTCGAAAGACCCGCCGTCAGTCTTATATCCGGACCGAAGTGTGCGTCATGAGAGATTGACCTGGTTCTGGGAACCAAATACTGCGTAACACGCCAATTACCCCTACCCAAAGAGCTCGTTAACGCCTTTTTCCGTGCGAAGCACGATGCAGGAATGGTGCGTGAGAGCAAGTCTCTCCATCCAACGCCGACGTTTTGTGGCTGGAAGCCGAACGGCAAGTAGCGTATCGTTCACTCTTAGTATAAGCTAAACGCTGCCACCATTCAGGCACAGACACCGATTCCAAGGAAAGATTTTTCCAGAACACTATGGTTGGCTGTACAAAGTACAGTGCACTCGACTTGGCCGATAATAATTACCAATTGCTCATGAGAGTGAAAGATATTCCGTTGACAACGGTGAGTACTCCGAGCGGTATGCTCTAGAAGTGGCTGGAGATGCCGCAAGGGCTGTCATATGCACCAGCAACATTTAATCGTCTTGTGACGCAATTGTTCAGGCCCCACCGGGCGTATGCACAGACATACTTGATGACATCTTCGTCCACAGTCGTGCAGCCCACGGGAGGACGGGTGAAGGAAGCCGCATTGTCCATTTGAGAGCGATGGTCGAGTGCATACGCACGAATAAGCTGTATGCCAATGCAGATTAGTGCATATTTGGCGCTGAGGAATTCTTTTTTTTAGGGTGCTTCATCGGGAAGCATGGTTTTCGAGCGGATCCCGCTAAGGTTAAGGTCATTGTGGACTGGTCGGTTTCAAAGAAACAAATGGACTTGTGCAAGTGGCTTCGGCTCACCAACTACTTGCACAACTATTGCGCAAATTATACAGAAATGACACGGCCATTGTCGAATCTTCTTAAGAAGGATACAGAATGGTGTTGAGACACCGAGCATCGAGAGGCTTTTGACGAGGACAGAGACAGCCTCCTTCAAGCACCAAAACAGGCGTTGCCAGACCCCGATAGTTCTTTCATTGTCGTCTGTGGCGCTTCGGACTTTGCCATCGGCTGTGCACTGCTGCGAGCAGACGCCGAGGACCGAGGTCAAGTGATCGCGTTCGAATCTCACCTTTTCGAGGCTGCGGAGAAGAACTACCCAGTACTCGACAAGGAATTACTTGCGATGAAGTATGCACTTGTCAAGTTGAGGGTGTACCTGCTCGGATCCAAACCATTTGTGATCTACACAGATCATGCGTCACTACGCACAGCGATTCAGTCGCCTCACCTCTTGCAGAGAATGGCCAGATGGCTCTTCTTCTTCGCAGAACATAACTTCGAAAGTAAAAAGAAGCCAGGAAAACAGAATACTCTGGCTGGTGCACTGTCACGCAGACCAGATTTGAGCTTGCTCATGTCACGACGGTGACGTCGTCAGCAACAGATTTGATCCGCACCGCATACGCGGGTAATGATATGTGCGTAGCGCTGCTAGGGGTTTTCGGGAGCAAGAAATTTGGAAACTCGGACAAGAAATTGTCTGCATGTTTGCGCGCACGGTTACATCGATATTCGTTATATGACGGGTTGCTGTATTATAGCACCGATTCAGCGAATACGCCACGAGTTGTGGTTCCTCACGATGAGGATTTGAAATACTGTATCCTCTATGAGGCCCACGACAGGTCATCTCGGTCGTGAGAAGGCCTACAGCTCTGTGAGCTGCTACTCTTGACTGCCTAAGCTGCACCAATGGACGAGCGCGTATGTGCGCACGTGTGAAACGTGTCAAAGTGTGAAGCCCTCTCCGAATGCGGTGGCGCCACGAATTAGTTTGCCGGTACCCTCCGTGCATGAGTAAGGACTTTGCCTTCGGCCTGCCGAAGGACTTGGCGGGCAACACGATTGTTGTGGTCTTCGTCGACCGTTTGAGCAAGATGGCTCGTCTAGCGGCGGTGCCGGACACCATCCAAGGTGTCGTTACAGCGAAGCTGTTCGTGCATCGTGCCTTTTGACAACATGGACTCCCGAAGTCAAATGTTTCTGAGAGACTCAATCATCACTAGGAATTTTGGTTGACAATCTTCGAGGTGCTGGGCGAAAAGTTGACTATATCTGCAGCGGACCATTCCGCAGGCCGATGATCAAACTGAGCGCATGATTATCATCGTTGAAGACGTTCCAGCGTCTGTGCTCAGACACCGAGGCACTGGAGCGCCATGCTGCTACTTGTAGATATTGCTCTAAACAATGCAGTACATGCGTCTACCAGCTATACGCCGCTCTACGTGAACGGGCTTGTTCGTCCTCGCGTCCCACTGATGCCGCCATCTCATAGCTCAGGGCTTGGTGGGGAAAGAATAGCCGAGCGGCTAGCTGATGTCAGCCCCCTCACTGATCGGAAATAAGTCGATGCCTTCCTGTCCAGCAAACTGAGTGTCCTACGACAATTTCGCGATACGATGGCTGAAAGCCAAGACATGCAGAAAGAATATGCTGACGGAAGAAGCAAAGCAAATGTGGAAAACATTAAGGTCGAAGACCTGCTTTTATTAAATGCGTAAAATCTTCCTAAACTTGCAGTCTTTAAGACGAAGCTCCGTCCACGGGTTATAAGATATATTAAGGTCGTGGCCAGCGGAACCTTGCGTATACGCTGAATCTTTTAAAATGAATGCGCACCCAATCAGTGTTTTATGTGGGATTGCTAAAGCCGCATCGGGATCCAGCGCAAGTAAACGCGGAATCGTTGGCGCCGGAGCGGAGCACACAGGTACTCGACCACCTAGAAGCTGAACCAGCAACTAGTTCTGAGCACAGAAGCCAGAAATCTCCGTCTCAGACGGCGTCAGGCGCTCCACCGTCGCACGAAGTGACGCATTCGTCTGCTCGACGACAAGGAGCCGCTCCGACATAGCGCGTTAATCCTCAAAGTGAGGCACTCGGTGCACAAAGTGCTTCAAGTTCTCAAGGTCTTCTTCACAGCAGTATGCAAGCTCAGCATGATCCTTAGCAAAGTACCGATTGCGACGGGCCTTGTCCTCAAGAGCTCGAAGAGCATCACGAGTCAGCGGACGGCGATCGACTCGACGAAAACGGTGGTTTTCCACTATCATGTGAAACGTTCTTGTGGGTCGACGTCATTGACAGATTCAAACCAGTATCTTGTGAAGTGGCGGGGATCTTCAGCCTCCGAAGGCTCGTAGAAGTTAGACGTTCCACTTCAGCAAGACTGTCCAAACGTCGTGGACGCTTATGAACAGAGGGATCAAGACGCTCCGCACTTCTCGACAGTAGCCAGGAAAGCCGAAGGACCATGAGCTGAGATCAAGCTATGGCCCTGAGCTGCTGTGGTTGCAGACTCGGCCGTGTGAGAAACCACAGAGATCGCGATAGCGTGATTGTTAGATCCATACGTCGCAGGGTGACAATACGAAGGAAACTGGCGTCGCGCCTTGAGTTTGGCAAACTTGAAGTGAAGATGGCGTTCGACGCGCACGTCCACTTCCTTGTGGCTCCTCGGTAAGTTAAACAGCGAGAAGTATCGGGTGCCGCTGCACCCATCACTCAAAGAGCTCATTTTCATCTGCAGCGGCTTTGCCAAGGGCTAGCACCACAGGAGTCGTCTGCATTGCGGGTACAGAAGCGCCCCCTCTTTGAGTGCAAAATCGAGCGCGGTACCTATTTATTGAAATTTCTTGAGGTACCAAAAAGCGAGCTCAAGAGCTTTTTACTGATTAAACTCGGCTTGTGTAGTGGCTGGGAGCCCGACATCGTAGACGCCCAACGATTGGTTGATCGCGTCCTTTGCTTCAGTAGCGGAATCCGTCGAGCAGAAGCCATATTCTACACCAGGTTCTTGGACTGATCGAGGATGCGCGCGCATTGCCGCCCTGTGAGCAGCCTTTAACTGCTGCATCTGTGCCTCGTCGAGGTAATTGGCAATACTCGATCTTTGTTGCGTATTTCAAGTAGCTCAAGCTCACGTGAAGTGGAAACGCTTAAAAGAAAGCTGAAAAATTCAACGCGTCGCTCAATTTCGATCATAATGTGCGTGAATGAATGTTTAGCTCAAACAATCGGCTTCGAGCGAAGAATATATCTTAAAAGTTTCAGGATTGCATTCACAAGCAGGTCTGTAGATTCCACGTATGGAGCAGATTTTTTTCAGCGGGGCTGCCGAAGCTTTGCGCATGAGAAAGCGTCTTTAGGTTACCGACCTTTCGTTTTATACAAGAACCAAATACTAGTGCAGCGGATTGCAATGCGCTGCCTCTTAAAGTCTTAACCAAGGCAAACAAACACTTCTGTTCAAAATCGTAACTGACTTTTATTGATATTTTATCCTCATGTTAAAAGTTCAGATTTTCCTAAATATATAGTAGAATCTATGTACATCCATAACAACTGGCTACCTCGCCCCTTCCCGTATCTTGTTTGGGTGTGTGGTTAAATTATGCCCATCTCGTGTGACACGCACACACCCCTGTTATCAGGGTTCGTGTAATCCCGTTACAGTTTTTATATCCAACTTGTTTGCTTACTGAGACATCTTCCACGATAAAATCAAAAATCGACAGACTCTGGATGACACGATTGCCGTAGCCGTAATCTTTGGGTTTGTACATCACTCGTGCACTCGACCGTGCGCTTTGCAATCCTCTGATGGCGCGAAGACTAACGTTTATTTAATGTAACGGATTTTTACGAATAGTGATCGGTCTTTTAATTATTAGTAGCCTCAAGAAATCGATCACTTTTGACAGGAGGTCTACAATATGTAGAGGGCTACTAATTCTCGACGACATCAACGTCATCTAAGGTTTGGTCTAGTTCGTCTACATTGAAAGGATCATCCTCTCTTTCACTATCGGCATTGCTCCACCTTTGCTGAAATTTCCACCCGTATACATCATGGTTCCAAATGAACCACTGTGACGGGCTTTTGCGAAATCCTGTAGCTTCAATGGAATTCAAGACCACTGATGTTGGTGTTTCTCGCCACGCCGTACGTACCCAACTGCACACAGTGTCAACGGAAGGAGGGCGGGGATTGCCGCATGGGGTGTATTCAACGGCCGCTGGATGCTTCCATTGGTCGATTAAACCCGATAAATTGGCCTTGAAAGCCTTGTAAATACCAATGTCACCAGCTTGGAGGTAGGGTGTTAAGCCTCCCGGCACAACGCACGTG